CGGAAAACAGTAAAAGAAGCCAATTGGAATAACTCATACGAGGAAGCCAATTGGGATAACGCCACCGAACAAAAACTTGAATTTATTGAAGAGCAGTTAGCGGATAACTCGTACAAAGAAGCTACCGAGGAAAAACTTAAATTTATTGAGGATCAGTTAGCAGAAATAGTAAAAAATAATAACAGGTTGGAAAAGAAGCTTGACGATATTTTAAAAAAATTTGAATAATCAGAATAGTTATTTATTTTAATTTGTGTATATTTTATCAATTTCTTATTTTTAATTTGTGTATATATTTTTATCGGTTTTTTGTTCTGTCTGAGATATTTACGCGCATAGTATCGATCTTACAAATGGAAGTTCTATGAACTTGAAGGTATAGCTCTTTAATACAACAATAGACGTTCTATTATAACTAATTATCTTAATTTTTATCGGTATTAAATAAAACACATAATCGCTAAAAACATTAACTCATTTTTATAAAGTGAAATCAGATGGAATTGTAGTGAATGTACCGCCCTTCCTTGTAGAAAATTTTAAACCTTAATTTTTTTTTTAGCAAAATCAATTATTTTTCCACAAAATAAATAAAGATACATAGTGTAATTTCTTAAAAACTTAGCACCTAAGTTAATAGCCTTGTGGTTAAAGTTAAATTAAGGTTTAAATTTTAGAGACTATAAAGAGTAATTACGGTAACGGTGCTTGACCATTATAAAGCTGATATCGACAGTCAATAAAACAATGCACAAAATTATAAGCTATTCGAATTTCTTGCGAAAGGCCCTGTAAAAAAAATAATCAGGCAAAAATCCGGTTTTATTAGTTCGCGAAAACCACAGGTTTAGTTCTAAAACTTCCGAATTAAAAACGGACACGATATCTCGTGATCCACAAGTTCAATCCCGACAAAAAATACACCAGTCGATTCTTTTAGTCTCGGCGAATCGAATGGTGATATTTTCATCTGGATTGAATTTATGGATCACGAGATATCGCGTCCCAAAGTTACTGGATCAATTTTTTGCTCAAAATTAAAATGAATATATTATTTCCAAACACACCATCATTAATTCACCTAGTTTTGGTGAATTTAATGGTAGTAATTCTTAAAATACATTGCTTATCAAAAGTAATCTATTGTTACAATATTAACAATAATTCTTTAATTCATGAAAAAGTCACAAATTCTAAAAATAGTCAAAAATAGAAAAATTCCAAAAATAATCAACAAAAATAATCTATCAAATATCTTTTATAACTTACTTTATAACTTTCTTTTCTTTTTACAACTTTATTTATATTATAATTATAACTAATAACTATTTACAATATTATTTACAACATAATTTAAAATTTACAAGTTTAGTTACAACTTTTATTTATAATTTTATATTTTATATTATAATTTATAACTAATAGCTCTATTTATAACTTTATTTACAATATTATTTACAATATAATTTAAAATTTACAAGTTTAGTTACAACTTTATTTATAACTTTTATATTATTGATTATTATTTTATTAGTTTTATTAGAAAAATTGTATTAACAAAGATATACAAATAAAAGTAATATCTGAATTTTGATTTAATATATTGAAATTTAAAAATAAATAAAAATCTTTATTTCTTAATATTTATCTTTTACTTTCAATTATATACTTTAAAGTTTTTGTACAAGTAATTTGAATTATATTGAGCTTATCAAAATGTTATTATTAAAATTTAAAAATAAGTATTTATAATAAATTAGTAATAACTAATAACAAATTTTTGTTTTGCAAATATATAGTATTTATAATTATATATAATACAAAATACTAGTATATTTATACCAAAATATATATTAGCTCTACTATAAATTACTTAAATTTTTTTTATTTTAGATTCACTTTGAATTAGCTTAGTTAGCTTTTTTCAATAATAATAAACTTTTGAATAATATTTTTAACATGCAAATTATATAACTTATATTTAGAGATAGTTGATCTATTATATTTTAAACAAGAAATTCATTATCATTTTTTTCAATAAATAGCATATTCTTCTTGCTGATAGCAAGATCTATTACAAATTTTTTTTTATTAATAATAATATATTAACAAAGATAATTTTTTGTCATTTGTATTGCTTTGTAAATATAATTCAGTTTTAAATCTCAATATACAAGTTGATATAATCTTGTTAAATATATATAATAAATAAATATTTTAATTTAAATATTTTTCTTAGGATAATATATTGTTACAATAGTAATATAAAAATCACAAATTCAAAAATAATCAAAAAAACATGAAAATTCCAAAAAATATCCATATAATAATAAAATCTCCTAGTATTATTTTACTTTTTATTATTTTACTTTTTATTTTTCACTTT